ATGTTACGGTAATTTCGTCAGATCGAATGAGATGCGGAGCACTGTTCTGATCTTGAGCGCGTTGTTATTGTTCGACGATGTACACGTGCACCGATCTCGCACGCCGCTGCAATCCGCTCAGTTTGACAGCATTCAAGCTTATCAAAACGCGAATCCAGCCGGGAAAATCTACGCACACGTGCTGCGATCGATATCACGCTTCGTGTTGAGAGCGATCGATTTGATCTCGCCAGGTGTGCAGGCCTGTCATGGTCTAGGGCCTACAGAATCCGAGTGAGCTGCCGATAGGGGTCTGTCCGTCAGACACACATGCGTGGTGCATACAACTGCGCGGCTTATTCAGGCAGATAGAATCGACTCACATGATCATATTGTAAGTGTGAATGCAGGATATCGGCATAATAGACAGTAACAGGTAATAGGGTCAAGTCCAGGGACGAAATGCTTCACAAATACTGCATTAAGCTGTTCTGGTGTAGTTTGTGGTCTGGCTCAGCGCATATTCAGTATAGTCTTAAAGTGCTTTCCAATAAATTGATGATGGGTTCCGGTGTGTTCAGACAGTAAGGTCGTTTTACTCATGTCTTCATTGCTAAAAACAAATGGGTCTCTAATCCTACTGGTACTACTACTACTACTACTACTACTACTACTACTACTACCACCACCACCACCATTAATACTACTAGTTCTACCACTACTACTGCTACTACTACTACCATTTATACTACTACTACTTAGTACTTCTATTATTAATAGTACTACTACTACTGCAGGCTTTCTGGTTTGACGTCTCGGATTCTCCCTCGGAGCCATCATCATAGACAGTTGTAGATATGTGACGAAGACGCAAAGGGTACAGCATTCAAAACACGCATTTGTCATCCGGTGTGGCTAAGCCGGAGAGGTTTTGGTTCATTCACGATCAGCCACCTAACATGTCCTACGGATAATTGCATCACCATCTTAAAGAGGAGGTTCCGTCTGCAATCCCACATGAGGCTGCAAGGTAAGTGAACCCCCTTGTTAACTGAATACCGCTTGGTCGACTTGCCTGCAGGCGGTCCAAACCAAATCTGCATTCTCAGGTCTTAATTGTTGTTATTTCGTAGAGCACTGATTTCCTACACGTCACACTTTGCGGATACTCCCCCGGTGGAATCTTCATGAGGTATTAGCTAGTTTAAGTCCTGTACAGGTGAAAGACTATCTCATCTCAGCTAGCAGGTCAAGAAAGTGGCAAGTCGACGTATGATTAACGGCAAAATTCTTCAGCACGAGGAAGCAGGCAGTAGATGCAGACGCACATACTAACACTAAAAAAATTCGAGAAAAGCCCACTTGTACTATTTGCACTGCGTAGCACTTGCCTCGAAAAAAGTAACCAGTATACGTCGACGTCACACACGCTGGACACCGCTCGCATCCTTCCGACGTTTTGAAATAACATTAGGCAAGGCTGATTTATTTGTATGTCATTTACTTACAATGTCAATGCAATGGGGGCACTTCAAGTAAACAAAAAGAAACAATAAATAAGCGCAGACTTTTACATGCAGACGCTCGCAGCGCCGTCAATCCGGTCAAGTGTCTCCAATGGGCTATTAGGCGACCAGACCCAAGATGTCAAGTCATTTTCCAAGTCGGCTAAACCTCCTGGTGCCGTGAGAGTCTCTACCGTGTTACACGGTTCGTCCCAGTTGCCTACAAATTTTGCATAATTATAATGAAGTTTCACTGGAGGAAAAAGGAAACACGAGATAAAAGATATTAAAAAAGGAGGTTAGGCGACCACTTCTGGCTGTAATGGTGCACTGCGCATGAAAATCTTCCAACGTCATCTCAGGTGATTTAACGCTCTTGTGCCTTGTAAAATTGGCTACTCGGATGAGGCAAACAAATGGCAGGAGAGAGAGAAGGAAATAAAGAATACATTTCATTGTGCATTGGCTTACCGAGGGCAAAGACGGCATTGGCGGAGGTGAGAAGAGTGAAGCCGTAGCGAGGCTGCTTCATGTCGGCCAGCTCTGTCCACTGGCCGAGGGGGTTGCCGGCGTCTGGCAGTGAGAACATATCCACCATGTTGAGATTCCTTTTACCATCCCATCCACCGGCGACCAGGATTGCTCCCCGAAAGGGCGTCGCTGCGAGCCCGGATCGCGCAGTTCTCATGGCGGCAGCTGGCTGCCAAAAGTCAGCGGTGCGCCCTGAGGTCGCCTCCTCCCGCCAATTCGCGCGCAGATTGCAGAAGACCACAGAGGCAAGCCGGGAGGAGCCATCGTTACCGCCAAAAACGAAAACCCGACTGTCGCCGGGCAGGCAGGCAGCAGCTGGGGCGGCCCTCTTCTCAGGCAGATCGGGCAATTTATGCCATCTGTTCAGGCCAGGCGGGGTGGGAAGTGAGTAGAAGGAGAGAAATACTTTTTTTGCAAAAACAGATGCACCACAACCAGCGCCTTCTCACCTGTCCTGCCTGACGTCATAGACTTCACAGGAGGCGAGGCGTGTCCAACTGTCCCCTTCCTTGAAGCAGCCACCAAAAATGCCTATCACCGTCTCCTCTCCGTCGACGGCGTGAACCTTCACGACGGCGGCGGCGTGCTGCTGACGTCGAATGGCGAGGGGCGCCCGTGTGCGCCAGCGTCCTTCTCTCGTCGGAAACTCGTCAACATCAACTAGCGCTGGGCCGTTCCATGCTCCTCCAACAACGAAAATGCTCTCTTTCGAAAAAACAATAACAAAAAACGTCCGTCACTTACAAAAAATCCGCAAGAGCCTGATTTATTTGCTTAATTTTCTTCCTACAAAACACCAAAGGCTGTCGCACACAGAGGCGCTTGACTTCAACAAGCAAAAACATCCAAAACAGACAAAATGTGCTGAAGAGGTGACGCAGAACTCTCCGGCAACTCACCGCCCACGACACTGTAGGAGGCGACGCATCGGCGCGTCTTCATGTCAGCAACGCGTTTTACCTGCTGCAGGCGCTGATCGGCGCGAAGGACAGAATACCTGCCCTGCCCATCTTTGTCCTTTCCGAAGAGGAAGATCGTCGGGCGCAGACGAGGCCTTAAGTTGAAAGGGCGGGCCAGCTTGTCCTTGTCCGCAGCCCCAATCCACCGCTCAACCTGAAGCATAAGCTGACTTTTATTAGGAAAAAATAACAGGGTCGAAATAGCATAAACTTACAGACATTCGGGACTTTTCCCAAATGTCGGATAATCTTTCATCAGGCGATCGCGGCATTCCACGTCGGTTAGGTGCCACTGCACTTCTTTCAACATCGCTGGCGCGTGTACTTTCAGCCTCTCATCGTCGGGCTGGCCACAGGCACCAGCGCCCGTCCAGCGAGCAATCGCCGCAACAACCTCCTCCTCAGATCTCACCGAGAGGTGATCGCTTCGAAGCAGGCTGAGGACAGTTTCGGCCGGCAAACGAACAAAGAGTTCAGTTGGTACGAATTCATCAAAATGCTCCTTCATCAGCCCAATGCACGTATCAGCCAGTACTTCGAGATTCATAGACTTGGCAAAGTCCCACGTGGCTGGCAAATTTTCTAAATTGACTCTTTAGAGCAGGCAGTTAGAGAGGAATAGTCGGCAAATTGCGTACCTATTGGACAAGAATGTCGCTCCCCAATTCACCAGGGCGGGGAGTTCCAACATTCTTGCAAGCGCAATCATGCCCATCACGTTGTTCTCTGTCATCTCCACCCGGCCAGTGTACGCATACTGCACGAGCGTATTTGCGAGACTATAAAAGTATTAAGCAAAACCTAAAGAACCAACCTGAGCGGCGCTGTCGGCCATCTTAAGACCGAATTCTCCTCCCCGATGGGGCCACTGAGGGACGCTCGCAGGGAAGGAATGCGAGCTGCCAGCACTATTCGATGGACGTAAAGGACATCGCCGTTCTTGACCTAACACGCACAAATGTCCGCCGTAACTAAGGGAATTTACCTCTATGGTCAAGTCTTTAATGTCTTGGGCAAGACGAATTTCGTTTAAGGCAGCACAGCTTTGAATCAGAGGATGTTGGTCTTCGAAAAGTTCTGCTTCCTGGAGCGCCATTTAGATTTGTAACCAGAGCAGGAGAGAGAGCGAGAGACAGATGGAATGCCGTGAGTGCTACGAGCGCCGCCTTTTACGGTGGCCCCATACGTTGCACACGCACGCGCACGCACACCGGCTCTGATTGGCCGATTGTGGCATACGGAGGATTTCATTGGGAGATAGTTGGCACAGGAAAGGGGGCGCCGCGAGTTTTCATTGGTCAAGGCGAAGGTGGCTAGAAGTCGCTGATGGCGTTCATTGCGTGCCAAATCGATTAACGTGTGCTCTGTCGACGAGAAAAGCGAGCGCGCGGGAACCGGTTTCGGTTCCATGTCTACTCAAAATTTAAGTTGGTGAAGATCATATGTAAACCCAGACAAACAGTGAGGCCAAAGCTCACTTGACAGCCAGGGTTGGATTCGGTCAAATTTGCCTAATCAGCATTTGAACCTTCTCAACGTTTAGGGAAAAAACTGAAATATTTTAGGGACATAACGCATCAGGGATACGGCGTTCCGTAGATAATCACAAATTTATGCTCCTGTGGCGATATACTTACTACAGGCCCGACCAGTCAACCTTGGCCCACAGATTAAATATCGACTTCCACAGCACAAATTTAGTCAGAAATACGAGCGGAAAACGCATGCAGACAGGACAGTGCCCAATTCGCAACCTTGGCCCAAGTCTGAGGAAATATCGAATACACAAAACGGGTCATTACAGACCATTACTTGTAGGATATTCGCGTGAAAGCAGGCAGTCCCAGGGATTTGAGACTGAAGGTTGTGAGCGCTGCCAGGAGAAAAAGCAAACGGCATTGTATCCTGCGGATTCATTTACTTTACGAACGCTAGCATTTGATCTCTTCACAGCTCTGTACTGCACCAGTTGCATCTTCGTCTCCTTCTTCTTCTTCTTCTTCTTCTTCTTCTTCTTCTTCTTCCCCTACTTCCTCTCTTCGTCCTCATCTTCCTTCTTCTTTTTCTTCTTCTTCTTCTCCCCCTTCTTCTTCTTCTTCTTCATCTTCTTCTTCTTCCCGACCTTCTTTTTCTTCTTCTCCTTCTTCTCCCCCTTCTTCTTCTTCTTCTTCTTCTTCTTCTCCTCCCCCTGCTTCCTCTTCTTCTCCCCCTTCTTCTTCTTCAACCCCTTCTTCTTCTTCTTCTCCACCTTCTTCTTCTTCTTCTTCTTCTCCCCCTTCTTCTTCTTCTTCTTCTTCTTCTTCTTCTTCTTCTTCTTCTTCTTCTTCTTCTTCTTCTTCTTCTTCTTCTTCTTCTTCTTCTTCTCCCCCTTCTTCTTCTTCTTCTTCTTCTCCCCTTTCTTCTTCTTCTTCCTCCTCTTACTCTTCATTCTACAGTTGCACACCCCTTAAAACCGCGGTCGAAGATGACTGGAAGTGCAGTAGTTTTTTTGCCGCGCTGACCAGCATTTAGTGTCAGCGGTGTCAGTAGTGGCGGACAAGGAAGCCTTCAGGCACAAGTGCGTGAGCTGATCATTAGTTGGCTAACCTTCCAATAATGCATGATTCTTCTGTTCTAAGGAGATATCGTTACACTGCATCTCCTGAAAGTCGCATGTGTCGTTGTGATGGAGACTGATGTGTCAATTTACCACGCGGTCCTGATTTCCCCGCGTCCCGATTCTAGGACTAGAAGTCCGAATATGCAGCAGACGCCCGCTCCGTACCGATGGGGACTGCAGACTGCCAGTTCTTGGTTAAAAATGGAGAGAATGCTCGCGCATTCCAGTATTTACTATAAACCGACACCAACCAGTTCAGTGGCTTGGATAACTTACGACTCACTCACATCATTGACTCAAGATTACGAGACAGGAATCATCTTTGCCACATTTTGTGTCCTCGAACACAAGCATACTTTGACAATACTTGGTCCGACACCAATAATTCATTAATACAACTTCCGTGGAAAAGGTCTCATACGTCGGGCCGAGCGTTGATGCGCGGACCAAATACTCACACTTTAACGTATCCTCTAAACTCCGCCATGAATACCAGCCACCGACGGCCGTCTGCTTTGTTTACTTCAGCGCAGCACTCACATCCGCCAATGTTGACTGCCTCCGACGGATGAGGGGGCAGTCTCAAATAGAACTGGTGAGGCTGCTGAAGAATTAACAGCAGAGAAACATGTCCCTTCACGAAAAGGTGGTGCTCGCAAGTTCAAACAATCCTAAGAATGTGTTTATGGCCCCTTAACTATATGCCCATGGCCAAAAAGACTACACCCGTTACCTGCATGAAAAATAATCAAGAACTTTTGGTGTTCTACTATCGCTGTCTGAGGGTTACCCTACGGGTGAAGTGCACAGACTTCATCTCAAGTGAGATGGTCCGCACTCGCTGCAACATCAGGTCACCTGAGAAAGACGACCCAAGTGGTTGAACACGTTCATCAACATCGGCTTCATGATGGCAGTATTGCTGCCCTTGATCTGGCGTCGGTGCCCACTTCGAGGCGTCAAACAGGAGATCAACAGCAGTCACCAAAACAATAAGGATGTTCTTCGACCTTGCGCATTAGGTTTCCAACGTCGAAAAAGTTACTGGATCAAGCTTTCCAAATTTACTGTCGCAGATGGTCAGGTGTGCAACCCCGTATGATCAGCCAAGATAACGGCTGAATCAAGTACAATTAAGTAAGTACTACTGCTGACTTTACTATGCATTCCGCTAACGATCGACGGACTGAATTCTGTTATATCCTCTTTTTCTAGGTTCTTGGCGGCAATCGACTGGAGAAGACGCAGCGCATCAGATCTTCTGACAAGCAAAATGAAATGTAGACCGTATTCGAGTCCTAATTTCAAACTTGCAACATCTAGTTTAAAACGATAAACTGTGAAAAAGGAAGACGAAGGACGGTTTGATGCTGCAAGGTTAAAACGACATAAAATACCCCGATTGCCTTGACGACACTTCATCAACTTTAAAGCACCACTACGAATAGACAAACGCAGTGGTCTTCGGTACACCCTATTCACGACTTACTTTTCGCTCAAATTCTCAAAGACTGTGTCGATTCAGCTAATGAGTCAATACAGTTCAAGAGATAATAAGTTCTGTGATTAAAACTAGCTGAGCGGATGTTATAGATGCTCAAAGGGAATGGTGTATGGCCTCCTCTCGCCGAAATTGAAATTTAACCTTAGAATAGAACAATAAGCTTCCATTTCCAGTATACAATCCATATGGTCTGAGTGGCTCCCTTTCTAACCTATTACTAACACATTACTTTCTCAATTTTTCATTAACGCGCTGTTTTCTTCATTTCTACCATTCGGCGTTCAATCCCGGTATAATTACTCATGGAAATCCCTTTTAGTTACTACACTAATTATAATCATATTAGATTCCTTGAACCACTATGAGGACATGAACACAGAACAATGTCGCAAAATATGGGCAGGCAGAACATTCAATGCGGACATATCAAAGTTTAAAATAGGTGAACGCGTGTGGGAATGGGTTCATATAATTGGCAGTGTGTGGTTAATCACGTGAAGAAGAAAACACTAAAATAATTAATATGTACGTTATCGTAAGATATGTCGAAATTTAGTCAATGAACGTCAATGAACTACACATTATGAACACGAAATCACCCTCAGTAGTATAACATGCCAGTAGAGCTGTTTGGGAGTGCAAATAATATCGTTCGGCAGGCCAAATATTTAGCTAACTTCAGTTACATAAATGCGTTGGCTCATCTTCTAAACACATTACCAGTCCCTAAAAAAGAAACTCTAACTTAAAAACGCCTCCCATTTCGGGGTAAACTTCTACTACCTATTTATTACCATTTAGAGGCCGGTTTGTGTGTTTGATTCTCTTCAATGCATTCGGGCTAGATCACATGAATATTTTAATAGAAATTGCTGACATTCTGAACCCAGGTACGACTTACGAAAATAGCTAGTATTTATCCTCTCAAACAGTTCTCATTTATATGAGGCAAGGTATACTAAATCAAAGAAATCAGTCAAGAGTTCTAGTTTAAATGCTGGTCCTCCCAATCTTTGCCTCCGAATAATTATCGAAGAATAACCTTCCAGACCTCTTTAAGACGAGGTCGCCTTGAGAAAAGGGGTGGATAAGCAATAGCAGCAAATGCATTCCGTGCGGGATCCCCCACTGGTACACGCCCGTGAAGTCAGAGCCGAGCAGGGGTAGCGAACTCCTGACAAAGCCCCTTCACAGTCACATGTGGTAAATCGAATTGGCTACCTGTCATGTTTGGCCCCTCTTGTGAATGCAGAATTCGCACAAGTGGTGACTGCATGACTCAGACGCACCATGGCGTAGAAGGCTGTCTTCGGGCCTAGTCTACAAAGTAAGTGGAAGACATGAGATGAGTGCCAGGGCGAATAAGGCACAGGGGCGCGCGAGAACGACTACACATCAACAAATACTGGACTTCACTGGGCGTTGAGCATAAACAATTAGATTTTATTCATATCCCCATAAGTCATGCAAGCAATGGGCAGGAGGAGGAGAATGCGGAGAAGAGCAAGTGGAATGAAGTAGACGATAATGAGGAGGCACAAGCAGACGAGGAGAGGGAGAGAAAAGAAGAGGAGGGGGAGGATGAGGAGCAACCGAGGAGGAAGGTTGTGAGTGCGGACGGTGGCGACATGGGGGAAGATGGGACGAGGAGGAGGGGAAATACTGTATGAAGATCGAAGAGGAAACGAATAAATTAGAAGGCGGTTTGGAAACACATGTAGGAGGGGAGGACGAGGATGGATTAAACGAACGTGGTGTTTAGGAAGAAACAATAACATGGTCAGAATAAAAGGGTAAGGGGAGAAGAAAGTGGAGAATCAGACACCGGAATAATGCTCGTTTTCTGTATAGGACCGTAAAGTTTTCTTTTAATGTATGCGCTTTTTAAGCTGTGAACCTAGTAATCGGACTTGACAGCATTTCCGTTGGCAAAAGCTCAGTTAACAGTGACTATTATGGTTTTGTCACTCAAACACTTACACTGCAAATCTCTTAAACCCTTATCGATAAATGATGGCTTTTTGCGGCAAAGAGCCTAACCGATGTGAGCGTACGGCGGACTTGCTCAAATAAGGCTCTTGTCATTCAACCTCCATCTGGGCGTTTTGAGGTCAGCGGGTAAAGTACATACACCGAGAAAACGAAAGTTTTGACGCACACGTCATGCTCCACCCTGGTGTCGCGGCTACGCATGGAATAAAGCTAGCGATGGTGCGTGCTTTTTGCTGATCACGACAAGGTCTTTTTGCGAGACGAATGAGATAATTTAAAGGTTCACGAGTGGTTTTCAGCAAAGGCACTACTGGTTTGTGTCACCCTTGAGATATTGCGTTTAGGCATCGCAAATTCAATTACTAACGGATGCACGAAGGTGCGTAATATTGCAGAACATTAAAATGCCTCCTAATTCAATTGGGCATAATTGAATTTTCCGATAAGCAACCCTCGCATGAGTCAATTACAGCACTGTAGGCGAGAAAGCCTGACAAATTTCAATGACTGTTTTGGAGACCGAGCTCCTACAGACTCCCTAAATGCAACACCATTAATAAGGCGCTTTTGTGCTACAAGAGACTGAGAGAAAAGTCAGTAAGTGAGGCCTTTATCGGACAATGTTAAAGTGGGTTACCATATCGGTTTACGATTAATTAATCTTCATCGGCCCGCTATACTACATTTCCAGAGCAGAATAAACGCGGAGGTACAATGGGGATCAGTTAGCTTGGTAGCACACGTTCGGCTAAAACGTTTTGCTATAAAAATGGAGTAGCCTCCATGACTACACTCTCGTTGCAAAAAAATAACGAATGAGCTTTAGACGAGGAGGAGTCAGTCGAACGAGAGGAGGAGGAGGAGGAGGAGGAGGAGGGGGAGGAGGAGGTGGGTGGGTGGAACAAGAGAAAGGTGCCGAAGGACGGCGTTAAGATTTAGGAAGAAAGCAAGAAATAACGTCAATGAAATTGAGCAAATGTCTGTAAGTATCATAAGTTATGTTTTATCTCTAGCATTTTGTGTCCTGTAACACAAGCTTCCCAAAGCAGCAAGGACGATCTCCATAGAATCCGAAAGGCGGCAAGGCTTAATTTGGGATTTCTTTATGTCCGAAAATTGACAACCTACTGACCGACTATCACAGTATATTTGTTTACCAAAACAAATCTTCCAAAACTGTGTGGTGGATTAGCAAGTGAATGAAGCGTACGAAGAAGTAATTGCAATTAAACCAGGGTTGGATTGAATCCCACGTGCCAGGGGGTGTCACGAGTGGTGCGGCATTTATAGGATGCAGTTGCTACCCCATTGTATACCTATCACAAATGGCGGG